GAGGCGGGACGCGTCCTCGCAACCCAGCCATCGCGAAGGACTCACCGGGCGTCGGGGATCGCGGGACGATCTCCGGCCACCGTAAGCGGGCCGGACGACATAGAGCATGGGTGGCTCGTCGTCCGACCAGAAACAGACCCGAGCGTACGGCGCGTCGCGTTCCGCGCGCGCCTCAAAGAGCCATCAGACCACCACGGATGGGGCCCAATACGGCCGATGCCGATACGGAGTCGCGGAGTACCTAACGGGTTACCGGGGCTCCGGCACCAAGTGCAGGAGTAGGAACGGGGTGGTTTTTAGTCAATAGGAGTCTGACACTCCCTCCCGCCTCACCCAGGCGGGAGAAGTCATTCGATTATTTACCCCCTTAAAAAAAAACCTTTCAAAAAGTTTTAGTTAGCGCTTATATTCACTGTTAGTTGTAATAAAACAACTTTCACTAAAATCAAAACATAACTAGGTTATTAAATTTTTCTTATATAAAACTTACTTTACTGCAGAAAAGCAACTCTATTGTTGCTCGAAATAGTTCGTCCTGACGTGTAATTGTTCGTGTTTGTATCAGATCTGCTCTCAATACGCGGGCGTGTTCCTGTTCACGAGCGAGGCTCGCATGATGCGGCCCGTCATCAACCTGTCGACCGGACAACTCGAGCTCATCGGCACCATGGAGCAACTCTATCTAGACATCGCCGTCACTCACAATGAGATCATTAAAGGTACGTAACTTTTGAAGAGCTGAAGAATTTTATTGTTTTAACGACCTTATCTAAAGTACTACGAACTATGTACTGATTCTAATTAAATAATTATTTTTGTGTCTGATAGTGACATTTAATATGATATTTATTAAACACTAGCAAACCCGGCGAACTCCGTTTCGCCACCAGATGGCTTCGTTTTATGTAACATTGTTTGGTGAATAAAGGTGACTTTTCTTTGCTATAAACCTCACGGAGCCCGAGACCTTTCCGACGAATGCAAAACCGTGAAAATCAGTTCATGCGTTCTGAAGTTATAGCGTCAGGAAGGAATACCCGACTTATTTTTATATAGTAGGTAATATCACGGTTTTTATCCCCGAAGGGCAATGTAATAGGGGATGAGCTTATGCTATACACCAGTCGTAAATCCTCCGCGCTACTACTGAGATTCATTTTAAAACCCAGTAATACTTTGGCCGACCCGGGCATCGAACCCGAGGCCCGCTGCCGCCATTCGCACTTGCAACTACTCGACCAACGAGATAGTCATTGACTTTTATTATAATGGTGAAATCTCTCATAATATAAAATATTATTTGCAGGTAAAACAACCCACGTGGAGTTATCCCAGACGGCGTTCCTCAGCAACCTGGCGCAGCTCGTTCCCATGCCGGACTGCAACCAGTCGCCACGGTCAGTTACACTTATATTTTACATATTTATAGAAAGTCGTGTAAAAATAACATCATGCCTTTTATCCCCGAAGAGGTAGGCAGAGGTGCACACAGAAGTAACATCCACTTTTCACTATTTATGTTATGAGTCCCATGTAATAGGGGGTGAGTCTATTGCCATATACCGGGCACAATTCCAGACTCCGTGCTACTACTGAGAATGTTTAAAAACCCAGTAATACTTTGCCCGACCCTGGAATCGAACCCGAGACCCCTTGCCCGGCAGTCGCACTTTCGCGCAGTCAGTATATTAATTAACAGATTCCAAAAAAGAGATTTTAACATGTCTCATCGGAGTTATAATAAAAAGAAATTATTAATTTTGTTCCAGTAACATGTACCAGTGCCAAATGGGTAAGCAGACGATGGGTACCCCGATCCATACATGGCAGACCAACGCAGACACCAAGTTATATCGGTTGCAGACCCCGGCCACGCCACTGTTTAGATCAACCCACTATGATAATATTGGACTCGACGACTACCCCTGCGGTACTAATGCTATTGTTGCTGTTATTTCTTATACGGTACGTATTTTCATTTAAAAATACATTAATTAAAAAACGTGTACTATAGTTTTCGATTAGCGCCTTAACGCAGAGGCTGCGCAATTAGGTGTTGGGCAATGTATTACCTGTTTGATTCACGCAAAAATATCGTAGTCTACTCAGTTAAAAATAAATAGTTTATTAAAGTAAATGTTAAAAAAAGACAATCACACTTCCATTGATTAATTCATTTCACGATACTCACCTGATTTTATAAACATTTCTCTTGTATTTTTTCATTACGTACTATCTCATACAAATTTCATAGAATGTTTCCGTTTTTGACATGTAAAAAAGCTATTGAATAGGGTAGACGACTAATTTTTATTTTAATGTCCGTCTGGTGGATTATTTAAAAACATTAGACACGTATTTTTTATTTTCTTACGGAAACGAATACTTTCGACGATATATTGATTTGAAATGCCGCGTGACGTCACTTCTATGTACAATTTATACGTAGAAATGACGTTTTAGCTCCCACTCCTAAACTTTGATTCGTTTCATACCCTGTCATCATCCCCATATGACCTGGTTTGAAACTACCAAATTTTTACCAACACGACACTATTTCAAATTAAAGTATTTCATTATATTCGTCCACAGGGCTACGATATGGAAGACGCGATGATAATAAACAAGTCATCATATGAGCGCGGGTTCGCAGCCGGCTCAGTGTACAAAGCAGATTTTATAGAGCTCGCCCACCCTGCATCATACTTCTACAGAGACCCCAGCAAACCGGACCTGGCTGAACATATTGACGAGGATGGGTTACCGGCTGTAGGGGCCAGGGTTAAACCTGATGACCCGTTCTATAGGTAAGGATGCAATATCTCCATAGGGGTGGTAAATACAAAGACGTGTTGCTTCCAATAAGTCTGATTTATTATTGCCAAATTTCCTTATATTCAATAACCATACAACACTTAAAGTACTTAAAACATTTCGCTGATTAAGCGCAACGTACCTTATTGTTTCTCAATCAACCTTGGTAACAAAAGATGTTCTTACGTCCTTACAAGGAAACTACTATGTAATAAAAACTGGGTAAGCCATATTTCGGTACTGCTGGTCCGGCTCGACCGGAGTAATACCAACTCGCAGCAAACCGACGTGAAACAACCAGAGAGTTTCGTTGCGCCGCGTCAGTGAGGCGTCGCAGCGCATCTCCAGTCTCAATATACCAACCCCCAAATGTCGGCAACGTACTTTGTATCTCCTTTGCATTTGCCTGTCGCGCAAATTGCTTACCATCAGATGATCCGTCTGCTCGTATACTATGCCATAAAAATGTGCTTTTTTGTGTTTTTTGTTCATCATATTTACAATAAGTACAGGATGATCCATTTAAAATAGCAACCTAAAATGAATGGATGATCCATAGCAACCAATATAATAAATCAATCTCAAAATCGATTTTTTATAAAAATGTATTTCAATCCTCAGTTACTACGACGGTGAGAAAAGTATTTTCGTAGTAAGCAAATACCACGGCAAGGAAGAAGTGTTCGTGGACTCCGTCAGACTATGCGGGGACTTCAGTTCTCGACCGCTGAAAAAGGCTTGCGTCATGCTGCGGTTACAGGTATTTATTTATTTTTAATGTTATTCTTCATTTATATAAACTAGCTGTTGCCCGCGACTTCGTCCGCGTAGAATAATGACTTCTGGCAGAATTTAGGCTTTTGAATTAGTTTTTATCAAGGGATATTCTACGGTAATGGATGTTGTCAGAATTGATTCAGTCCCGTAGATGATAGCGTGATAATATGTAGCCTATATGTTTACCAGACTTGTTAGTAATATTCATGCAAAATTTGAAATAGTAGTGCAGTACTTTTTGAGATCATCACGGCCATACATACAGACAAACAGACAAAAATTCTAAAAACCACATTATTGGCTTCGGTATCGATTAGAGATCACATATTCTTTTAAAAAATATTCAATGTACAGTTTTGACTTTTCTACGATTTATTATATGTGTTGCCCGCGACTTCGTCCGCGTAGATTAATGACTTCTGACAGAATTAACCAGAATCAATTCAGTGCTCAAGTAAGATTTACCTATTTTGAAATGATTTATCGTAGTTTCAATAAATAACTAATCCCGCAGGGATCTTACCAGTACAGTGCCCGATCACGTAAGGTTTGAGTAATAAAAACTATTCTATCGATTATTGTTGTACCGAATCTCTCTAGAATAAGTTCAGTGGTTAAGAGTTAGAGAGTCCTGGGGCATTGACGCATAGTTCCCGTTCTCGTGAGACATCTGTGAAAAAACTATCATACGTTACCCAGGTCCCAAATCATCGTTTTACCGAATGTAATTCAAAAAGATTCAATGATTCTAAATTCAACGGCTAAGAAGATTTATACAAACTCTCATTCCCTATTTTATCCCCTTAGGGGTGGAATTTATCAAAATCCTTTCTAAAGAGATACCTATGTCATAGTAACTTTATGCATGCAAAGTCTCAGCCCGATCAATTTAAAACTGGCAAAGTATCATACTTTGGGGTGAGAATGTTCAAAAACCTTTCTAAAGGGACGTTTACGTCATAATATCCATCTGCACGCCGAATTTCAACCCGATCGGTGTAAAACTGACAAAGCCTCACACAAACGTTCATCCCCTATTTTACCCCCTTGGTGGAAATTATCAAAATCCTTTCAAAGCGGATGCTTACGTCATAACATCTATCTGCATGCCAAATTTCAACCTGATCGGTTTAAAACTGACAAAGGCTCATATAAACTTTCATCCCCTATTTTACCCACTTGGGGGTGGAAATTATCAAAATCCTTTCACAGCGGATGCTTACGTCATAACATCTATCTGCATGCCAAATTACAACCCGATCGGTTTAAAACTGACAAAGTCTCATACAAACTTTCATCCCCTATTTTACCCCCATTGGGGGTGGAAATTATCAAAATCCTTTCACATCGGATGCTTACGTCATAACATCTATCTGCATGCCAAATTACAACCCGATCGGTTTAAAACTGACAAAGTCTCATACAAACTTTCATCCCCTTTTTTACCCCCTTGGGGGTGGAAATTATCAAAATCCTTTCTTAGCGAATGCCTACGTCATAACATCTATCTGTATGCCAAATTTTAGCCCAATCTGTCCAGCGGTTTGGGCTGTGCGTTGATAGATCACTATGTCAGTCAGTCAATCAGTCAGTCAGTCAATCACCTTTGAATTTTATATATATAGATATAAGTATACTTACTTTACATAATTAATTATGTGTAGTCATATAGCTGTGTTGCATAACGATTAAATATGATAATATAGGGTCCTACCTACCCTAGGCGCCACTGGGATTTTGACCCAATCCTAATAGGCATTATCAAAGCCATCAGCATCATTTTAATGACAGTTAGGTACTATTCAATACTGAAACTTGACCTCTAATACTTTCAAGCCTCGCCGGGGCTGACAATGCGCAGCGAATAACGCTAACATTGTTAGACATGTTTAACAAGATTTCAACAGCTTTCTTTCACATAAACTTAATTCAAACTTTTACTCTTTGCAGCGTAACCCAACAGTAGGTGACAAATTCGCTTCCCGGGCCGGTCAGAAAGGTATCTGTTCTCAGAAGTGGGCAGCCGAGGATCTTCCGTTCACGGAGTCAGGGTTGGTGCCTGATATCCTGTTCAACCCTCACGGGTTCCCTTCCAGAATGACAATCGCCATGATGATCGAGTGTATGGCTGGTAAAGCCGCTAGCATACATGGCCATGTAAGTATATTTTATTTGTTTCGAATGTGTTTTTTTTTTCAGTTGGCGGCGCTAGTATCGTTTTTAGTCTTTTGACTTATTTTATTCTAATAAGGCAACAATATGAACACAAACATAGAAAGTGTCCAGACTAGTGCTAACATCGTTCATCAACAATCAACATCAACATGCACAATGTGCACGAACATATATTTGTGTAGGGTCCAGTAAGGGGTGATTTCGGTGTTAACGGTAATTTTTACAACACCACATAAATTGTATCGGAGGAATGTTGAATTTTTGAAAGTTCTTTAATGCAATATATCTGCCACATGTCAATTTTATTCTCCACATAACAATTATATCTGTTGATTGAAAATCAACCCTAAGTACACTGAACCGTACAATATCTTACAGATTATGCGTTATTGTTTGATTGCTAAAATGAAGGTTATTTTGAATTAACACTACGTTTCAGTTAACCAGGCTGGCAGTCGGCAGGCAGTTTTTAGCAATAACCAGAGAATATTATGCTTTTTACTTGGTCTTACAACACTTTTTACATTTAATTTTGGTCATCTTCTTCTCAAAGGTCCACGACGCAACACCATTCCGTTTCAACGAAAAGGACACAGCTATAAATTACTTCGGCCGGTTATTGGAAGCGTCCGGGTACAATTACTATGGCACTGAGAGGATGTACAGCGGAGTGGATGGGAGGGAGATGGACGCCGATATATTCTTCGGAGTGATTCACTATCAGAGGCTCAGGCATATGGTGTCTGATAAGTGGCAGGTATGAAGAAGAAAAAAACATAAATTAAGTAAAAACGCGGGTTACTCACGTGAATATACTGAGAAAAGCTCTACTAGTTTCGAACCACAGAGGGGTTCTTCCTCATGAGCAGCGTGCGCGGTCGCGGCGACGTCGCGCAGCTCACTGGCTGGCGTTGGCGCTCGCCTCGGTGTTGCCACCTGCGCTGCGAGCCCAACGCGCCCTCTGTCGGACACTACGAGCGTTTGCTTCCAACTCCGGCAGCGCGTTGGACGAAGCTAAAGCGCACGGTACGTTCACCAGCGGCGCGGGTCGTGGGTTCGATTCCGGGTTCGGCACAAAGTCAGTGTTGCATATAACGCTTACTGTGTCACACTCCAGACTGGAGACGCTGTGGATCGACGAAGACTCCAAGCTCGGCTTCCACGCGGGTGGCAGTGCCCAGCCACCATCCCTGTTGAAGCACGGTCGTCGGCTGATCTCGATGGCCTCTCGCACTTTTCGCGGAACGAAGTATTTTTCTCTCGCTAGTACGGAGACCTTATCAAAACGTATGAAGTGAGCCGCGTCCGTACCACAAACATGTTCAGCCACTGCCGATGCCTGGATGTCCATCTTCTTCACGCTGCGTATATGTTCCTTTAGCCTGGTTGTGATGTTGCGACGAGTTTCCCCGATGTAACTCGAGCCACAGTCGCACGGTATTATGTACACTCCGGGTACAGCCAGTGGATCCTTATCTTTAGGTGAGCGTAGTAGTTGTCTTAGCTGACCGGGTGGGCGGAAGATCGTCCTGATGCAGTATTTACGGCGAAGCAGGTGTCCGATTCTGTCGGTTACTCCTTTCACGTATGGTAAGAACGCTGGAGTCCGTTCCGCAACTGCCGGTCGCTTCCTACTCGAGCTGCTCGCAAGTCGAGTACATTGACGCCAGTTGTATCCATTGTTTTCCAGTACCCGTTTTAAGTGGTGAAATTCGTCGTCAATATACTGGGGATCGCATAGACTCAGCGCCCGGTTTATCAAGGTCCGGGGAACAGCGGCTAGATGGGAGGGATGATGGTGTGAGTCAGCTCGCAAGTACCGGTCCGTGTGTGTCGGTTTACGATACACTGTGTGTGACAATCGACCATTTTCTTCTCGTCTTACGAGGACATCCAAGAACGGCAACATCCCTTCTCTCTCTTCTTCAGTGGTGAATTGTATACTGCCGTGCACCGAGTTCAAGTGTCCCACAAATTCAGCCACATGTTCCCGGTTGACGATCGCGAACACGTCATCAACATACCTCCACCAATGTCGCGGTCGTACCGGGGCGGATGCCAAGGCCTGACCCTCAAACCACTCCATGTAGATGTTAGCCACCACCGG